AGCGCAAATATGCTTAAAACAATTTAGAAAATATGTTATTTCACATCTGAGTACACAACCAAAAATAACACAGGTCCTTCGGCGGATCCAGACTTTTTTGGGGATGTGTTCCGGGAAATTTGCCACTTATTCTTATTACTGTAAACGAGTTATTCTTGTATATATATATTTGGATGATCAAAATAACTAACCTGGCGAATTTATGGCCTTAAAATGACCTATATACTGAGAAGGAAATTCTCGAATTTGGAAAAATTTTTATTTCAATTTTAAAAGGTGTCAGTGGGCATTTGAAATTTTCTATGTAAAAAACATGTAAAATAATTTGGTTTCATTAAAAATGTTATAACTTTTGACCCGTTAAAAAAAGTTATGAAAAAGAGATAAACGTTTTTTCTATGCATATTTTTATAGGGCTTTAAATTATTTAAAAAATTACTCTGAAATTGGTTGTCTTAGAGACGATTAAAAGTATTAAATATGTTAATGATATTGCTGAACGAGGTATAGCATTGGTACAAAATTATAATCGAACTTTGAGGAAAGACGAAGAACGAAAGCAATTTCTTTTGCAAGTAATTCAATTGCCTTTAACTTATTTAACAAGTAATTTTTAAGCAAAGAACACAACCGACTTCAATTCTCATATAAAAATTCAGGAGTACCGTTAATTTTTTCATGATCCAATATCGGATCTAAACCAAATCAGTATGGGACTACCTTAAGCGGTAACACACAAAAATTAAATATTCCCACGAATTGAGAACCTTCTCCTTTTTTTGAAGTCGGTTAAAAATAAATAGTCAAAACTTGTTAATATGTGGCGGTCTTATAATTATGCAACGCAGTGTACCATTAACTTGTTGGACTTGTGTTTAGAGAAACTTTGAATTGTTAATTTATTCGTTATTTATGTGTTAAAATAAATTTAAAAAAAATTTTGTGTTTTAAATGTGGAGAATTTGTCCTCCTGGAATGTTAAAAAATTCTGGTCACCTTACAAATGGTGAATGGCTCACTCCACGACAACTTAGTGCACTTGATTTTGAGAAACAGCAAGGATACATTCGCCAGAAGTTAGAAGATTTAGGAGAAAAAAATAGTGACGACGAGCATTTCGTATCTGAATAGATTGTGGACGATAATGAAGATGATGTAACTCCAGCTGACTCCGATATAGAAGAAATCGAGTTGTCAAAATACGACCCGGAAGATCGTGAAAAACTTAACGATATGCAAATATGGACCAATACGTGCGGAAGAAAAATAAAGCAGTTGAGAATGCATTAGACGAACCAAGTAAAAGGTCTTAAGCCACTATATTAGATTATTGATTTTTGATTTTTTTTTTACCAAGAAATACGTTTAAGATAAAATTTTGGAAAATGGGCGTGGCACCGCCCACTTATGATCACATTTATGTATCTCGGTAACCGTTCTACCAATTAGTACCAAACTCGGCATGGTTATTGTGCTTGCCACATAAAAGCAAAACGTTGAAAATTATTTAAATCGGACTCAAATTACGGCCGCTTTTCATATAACGGTAAATTTCAGAAATGCTTGAAACTTCAAAATTTCGAAATTCAAGGACGCTAATTTTCTCAAAACTGATACACCCCGGCTTACCATGTAGCAGTAGCTTTCGGAAAGGTGAAAATCATATATTTAATACTTGCGGCGGGTATTTAATGTTCGGCTCCGCCCGAAATTAGTCTTTCTACTTTTTTATAATATTCTGGATGTGGCTGTCCTTACTACGTACAAAATTTACGTTGAGAATTGCCCTGCCTGAAGGCCTCTAAAATCCGACTAGGATGTTCACCAAATTAGTGAGCAATTGGCTAAACCTGCAATAGAAGTAAGAGCTAGTATAATGTAGTCGAATAACCTGAATATTCTCTACACGCAACGTTATTGAAGCAATAAATGGCGGTGCTTTGAGGATAATGGATGTTGCAGTATTTAGGTGGTAAGGAAGAACGTGACGGTGCGGGTGGAATAAAAACAAAGGGTAATTGTTCTATATCTGCCCAACAAGGAAAACGTACATATTGTGCAAAAGACCCGTGTGTGCATAACATTCTACTAATATGCCGCAATGCAATATCTAGATGTAGTTTAAAAGTTAGTAATTTCCAATTTATTCATATTTTTTTTTTATTTTGCAAGTTCTATCTTACTATATCATTATATTCTTGTATTATCCTAAGAATTTTATTCAGAATTATATTCTTGTATTATTTTAAGAATTTTATTCGGAATAAAGTTTACTTTTCAAATGTATCAACATACATATTTGCGTGCGATTTCATATACACACCCGGGTATGCAGCTGTTGATGTAAGGGGTAAAAGTCGAAAAATGGCCAGATCTCTGGGCCAGGTGGTGTAATCCTACTCAGACTTGGGAATATGACGTTTGTTGAGGATATCATTAAATTTCAAGTCAATCGGGTATCTAGTTTCCAAGATATAACAGTTTTAAAACGCAAAACATACCCGGGTATGTTGCTGTTGACATAAAGGTTAAGTGTGTAATAAGAATCATACTCTGGGAATCCTAATCTACGAATAATAAAAGTTGATAATGTAGGAACTGAAAATAAATAATACACCACTACATAGCAAGACCATATGTTTGTTGATGGATGGTATATAACACAAATTAATCTCGTTTAAGAACAAATTTATTCATAAAATATTTTAGCGAAAAAAGTTTTATATTGTGGGTTTACCCAAGAATAGATATATTGGCTTGGTTATTGTTGCCCCTGGTTTCGAAAACAATCGATAACGGGGAAAAGATGTTGTAATTATTACAGTTCGGATTTTTATGCAAATTGAATATGTAAGAATTATGTAAAATATATTAGAGAAGTATATAAAATGTACATAGTTAGATATTCTAAAAAAGATTTTTATACAACAATTTAAATAACAGAGAAGAAACAAGACCGAAGCCGTTTGCACTTGTGTCCATGTTATCAAGATTTCATAGAAAATTAAACATATTTTGTTAAACGCATATCTTCAAATTTATTAACAACTTGCATTTAGTTAAACCACTAAACTATTTCAGTAGTATCTGTGGAAAATCATCTGCATTTGCGGCAGGGGCACGGTTTTTTTTTAGCTTCACTTTTATTTCAACATATTTCGATTAAAAGAAAAATACTGATAAAAA